TTTAATATAACTTACATCATACCTGTTAAAACTCAATTCCTTCTAGAATTCTAAAATTACAAAATACCTTACGTATTTCTGTGTTGAGCATAAGAAGTACTCTAAAAAAGACTGAGTGACTTATAATATTTAATAGATTGACTAAGGACTGGGACGTAGAGCCCATCATATTATGTCTTATTAAAGAGTAAGAGGTGGCATTGCTAACTTTGAAAAGTTTTCTAAATTCCCCAAATCTCAAAATGCTTTTCAGATGGTGGAACAGAGGATCTACTTGTTCCACAAAAAGCTGCCTTTGTGCAAAACTTTTCTTGAAAAAATAAAAAGAGATTTTATATGGAATCTGAACAGGTATAATTTCTTACCTGCAGAAATAAAAGCCAAACTTTGACTTTGACTGAAGCAGGTTTTTAAGAAAAAAGAATAATATAATCAGGAATGCCACCTTTCTATTAATCAAATGGCATTGTGCTTTATTAATTAATTTGTATTTGCTTTGTAGACCTTTTTAATTTCATTCATATTTTCTGAAACTAAAAGTTCTATTAGGGAGGATTATTGGAAATTTGTGTAGTTAAAGTGTACAGTTTTTACATAGTAATACTTAGAATGTATTATTATACAAATAAGCTAATATGAAAATAGTTTGTTTTGCTTCTTACCAGGCTCACAAAAATAAAGCAAAGCTGGAAAATATCAGTGTATGCAACTGAGTAGAGGCCTCCTAAAAGTGTGTAGCTGATGGAGACAGCTGCTGAGATGATGATGCAGAGGGCAGTAGATAATCCAAGAATTATGCTCATTGTGCCACCTGAAACAAAATCATAAAATAGTTAGTTAGAGATAATGTAATCCAAAATTTTTTAAAACTGACAACAATATTATATTCACTTAGACTTTTTCTTACAAGTTAAGAATAGTTGCACCTCAAAATATTGAACACAGACAACAAGAATGATCAATACTATTGTCACAAAAACTATGCAAGAAAGTATTAAGAATTACCTTGTTTTTAAATTACACATTTTGTCAAAAAGAAAGAGACAAAGGGTTATTTACCTAAAGCAGCAAGGATGCAGGCAACCCATAATACATCACTGAACAAAGCAGGAAGCATAATTATTGCAGTGAATATGTTACCATAGCGAATCTGAAATGGGTCCAGCATTGTCACGTAACGCTTTGACCTCATAGGTCTTGCAAAGAACAGTCCACCTAAACCCAAACATGAAGAGACAAACAACATTCACAAAGCTAAATTTGTTTAGTTTTTAAACAAAAGTTTATAAGACATGTCTTCTGTTTAAAAACATAAATATGCATCCTCCTAAGTTCTACTAGAGTTCTACGTAAGCATTGCCACCACCTCTATCCGTTCACAATGTAAAAACTGATTGACCAAGAAGAGATTTAACCCCAAATGCTACTCTGGTCAGATTTTACTGCTTTGGATTTCACTAAAAAACTTCAAAGTAAAGCTCTATGGAGTGAGAGTGCAAGGCTCTTTTAATTGGTTGAAGATTCCCAGTATTATATTTCAGCAATCTCCCCATTAAAGTCACCCATAATTATAATTTTCTAATGCTCGTTATTTTAACAGATTGCACAATCTTGTTGCAAGCACTGACATTTGGAATCAAAACAATAACATTTAATGGTTTTGACCAAGACTTATGGACTTATGTAAGTGTAGGTCCCAGTTTATTACTTCTCTGTTTGTAGCAGCAACATTCCTGCAAGAAGCAGGAGAAGTGATCTGTACAATCAGAGGAACAATTAGACTTAAACTGCATTGCATTTGAATCATACATGGCAGATCAGGGTAGTTAAAGGACTATGGATAATTAATTATTTAGACTTCACTCAAACATTATCCTTCTTATTAGTAGTTTGATAATATATTCATGCCAGTCATGCTAACCTTCACTTGTGTGTCATTATAAAGATGTAATACTGATGGGTATGTTTACTTACTCAGCAAAAAATTTAGAGCAAATGCAGGGGGTCCCAGTGCCCAGACAAGACCTTTTGAAGGTGAATAAACAGTCTCAGCGGTACCCATAATGTAACCGCCACCGACCCAGGTTGCTAAAAGCAAAGAAAAAAATAAGAGGATGAGAGGAAAACATGAAAAGAAGCATGGAGCATATACAATAGTTACCCCTTTCATATTTAAAATCAAAGACTACCTGTCATGGTAAAAACACCAACCAGGACACTGATGTTGCGCCCGCCAATGATGGCGATTTCGCTCGCTGGGCCAGCACATGTCTTCTCCACTTTCTTGGCTTTTCGAGACCCCCACACTCCAATTCCCAGGATTAAAATATAAAAAATAATGACAGACACAAGTCCAGGGACATCCACTGCCATGATGATTCTGGTAACAAGACTCTTGTGCACAACCTATAATGACATTTATATATTTATATTAGGGCCATTGTAAACAAATATTCTAGTAATCAAGTAATCCATTGATTATTTTTGTGATTAATTGAGTAATCGAATAAAAATTTTTAAAAATAAAATATTGATAAATACACACAAACATTTCGATAAACATGAAATTATTGTTGTTACTGAACAATAAATCTGATAGCTTAAGGTGAGTGAGGCATTCAGCAAGACAATATGAGGCTACAACTGAGTTCCTTTGTGATTTTCTATTGAATTCGGGTCTAAATAGGAAAGTTGGAACCTCTTAGCAAAATGTTTACTCATGACTGAAGAAGGGTTCTGTTATTTTCACCTGCAGATTTTTCCCCCCACCAAAATAATATCATTCTTCATGGAAGCAGTTTTCATATAGTCCCTGAAGGAGAAACTTGTTTCAGTCCCCACTTCTGAATTAAACATTTAAAGTGAATGGAAACAGGGGGTTGGTTTAGAAACTTGGATAATGCATTTGTTACTGACGGCCTCTTCAATCCAATAATCAATGCTATTCATTACATTTTCAAACATAATTTACAATTCCAAAGCATCCATTAAACTCGGACTGAAAACTGTGGGTGGGTCGTTTATTTTTAGGATATGTGCCAACATTGACCTTTACACAAAATAAAAATGACATGTTATCAAAAGGAAACTTTCAAGGAATAGCGTGAAGGACAAAAACGTCGGCGAATCTCTCTTATCTACATTTGATTTTAATTACAACCCCACTGCAATAGCAGCAACAACGGTGTGTTCCCATATTAATATTTTCACCTTAGATTTTGTTAACATGCCTTAACGTGTTTTTCTGAGCCACTTTCAAAGGTAACTGAGCCGCAGGCGTTACTTTAACACCTGCTTCTACACCTGTACTGCTGCGGTGGAGACATGCTGCTGTGCAGAGCTGCGCAGGTTTGTGTTAGAATCATGCCAGGATTCTTAAGATTTCGGCAAGGTATGATATTTATGCAAAGTTGAGCATAATTGCTCAACATTTAATTTATTGTTAAATAAATTAACAATAAATTAATTGGGTGTGGTTAACGTTACCTTTAACCACACCCTCTCCTCCCAACCACACCGTCCCTCGCTCTGATGGCTGCCTGGGGGGAGGAGGGTGTGGCGCAACAATTTCCATATTCTACAGTCCAAACCTTGACAGGTGTACGTCCTCGTAGCATCGCTTATGTTGCAAAAGGATTTTGCTGGTGTGTTCGCATCACCGTCAGGGACACATACATTTCCAATAAGATGGTCACTTCATCCACCGAACCTGTGTCTCCCCTTTTTCCTGCAGACTAGTGTGAGCCATTTTGTTTCAGCAGGCAGAATGTCAAATGAGCCACGCGACACAGTTGAAAATGAACAGAAAGGGAGATGAGATATTGAAACACGCGAATGTGATGCAGTTGAAAATCGACAGAAAGGGAGACATGCAGTGGTACCGAGGAGTACCGAGCAATCTGTTGACGATACCACATCCACTTCAACCCACATGCTCTTGATTAAACCCAGACAGTAATGCCAAAGTGGGGATGAGTGGCGTTTTCATTATATTTTTTTTATTTCTATTAATCGACTACCGGAGGGAGAAGATGAATTGGAATGGAAAATACTGGACGTGGCTATACTTGGAGTATTTTTTAATCGGATAAACTGACGTGGAAGACGATTATAAGAACCATAACATTAGACAAAAGTCTATTGTTATTAGTTTAACACACCACAAACAGCGAGTCACAATCGCCTTCTGCTTCAACACCATCGCATCTCTTTCAGCTACGAAGACGAATAACTACCATTATGAGGTGATTCTAAATATAAGACTAATTCTGAATGCCGGTACATATTTTTTCCTCTTAAATTTGTCATATTGAAAGCCCTCCTTCCTTAGCCAAACACTTATTTGAAAAGAAATTGGGTTTAACTTACCTCCCCATAAATAATGTATGAGGTACCTCAGAACCCGGTCTTGCAAACAGACACAGTTGGCCAACTTATAAAACTGTCTGAACAGGAAGTGTTCTGTTCAGATCAGGCGGCACGCGAGAAGGACCTATCTGCAGTAAATAGAAAGGGGGAGAAGGAGGTCGCTGCAGCAAACAGAAAGGGGCGGGGACGAACCACTGTCAGTCTCATACCTTCTATGGAAATGGGACTATTGCATTCCGGAAGTGAAGGGGGCGCTATTTTCACAATCACTAGTATAAATACCTTAAAGAAGCGGGGTTAAGAAGTCGATTGGAAGAAGTTTGAGGTTTCCCCACTGAAGATAAGCATATTACTTTTATTCACAATGGAACAACCACAAAGTCAGCAAAAGGTATTTTCTATCTTATTAAAACTTTTTTCACAGAGTAAATCAATACGCTTTTCTAGATTAGGTTGAAAATGTAATTGACAGCTGTAAACGAGTGAAATACGTAGTTCGTACATGCAGGGGAAGGCTAATTTTAGCATGTAGCATAGCAAATTATTTCCGTGCAGGGCACTATAGAATAGTAAGGGTGTGTCAGAGTGGGAAAGAAGAAGTAAATGCATTTCAAAAATAAAAATAGAAACGAAACCTTTAAAAATGTTTAGAAAGCAAAGTACAATTAACAATGGCTGAATATGCAGTTGAACATTGGTATAATAAAATATGAATGTATAATTATAAGCATATTACTTTTATTATCTTTAGGTTATGAAAACTATAACTGATAAAGTGGAAAATAAGAAATTGAAAAACACAAACCTTTGAACTTTTCTTTTGCAAGTAAAAACAAAACCTTGCTTTAAATGGAGAAAAAAAATAAACCTTTCAATTTGAAAATGCAGTTCACACACTGTTCTTTTTCTTGCCATTAGTTTTACCAATATCGTTATTGCATTATTGTTTCAAAAAAAAATCTGTGATTTTGTAATTACATTGTAACAAATGCAAATGTATCAAGAAAAATATCAACAAACCGAAATTTCAAGAATATAAACTTTTTAGGAAACATGTTTATTATACTTTAACACAAAGACATTTCATCTACTTAGACTGTATGTTTTGGATTCAGTTAAACTAGTAAAATCTAATAAAATATTTACTTAAATCCTGATGGTCTTTCAGTGGAGATCCCTTACTTTGAAAGAGCCAATATGTTGAACACCAAATAATACAATGTTTTTTTTTTTGGGATACCATTTTTGCTTAAAAAAAATAGTGGTTTAGTTCCCTAGATAAATCACAAAAACAACTTCTGGTCAAAAATTGTGTGTGCTTTGACTTATTCTTTAGGTTTGAAGTTTAGCTTAGAATTTAGTATGGAGAACTTGGTTCATTTCCTCACTAGAGTCAGGTTCTTCATCCTCCTCTATCTCATTCTTTTTTTTAAAAACCTCCAGAAAATCCCAGGACTGCGGGATAAGTTCATGCTCAAAAACCAGGTTCAGCAGACATGAAACTGCTAGAATACTTACCACAGAAAACAACATGGCAATAGTTCTGTAAGGAAAGTACTGTCTGATCACATTATCCTCCTCCCTCCAACCAGGGTACAGGAGAACAGGAGGGATCCCAAGTGTGGGCTCCCCGCTCAGTCCACGCAGCAACAAACCCACCACGAAACCAGAAAAAGCACCATAAGTGTTTGCACGTTGGAAGTGGAGAACACAAAGCAGCTGTGGGAAAATCACACAGTAGAGCAGATCTCCACTTAAAAACCAGAGAGCGGCCACACTGTCATCTCCAAAAGCCAGACCTGTTCCAGCCAGGCCCACGACCAGAACCCCAATACGGATTACCCACTGGAGCTCCCTCTCTGAGGCCTGCAGGGGAGGAAAGACAATAGCAGATAAAAAAACACAGTCTCTTTAATTAAAGTGGATTCAAATTGTCTACACACACCGTTTTCCTCAAAGTCGTCTTGTATATGTTTTGTGTAAACATGGACGCAGAGGATAGCAGCGCCGAGTCCATGGAGGACATAACAGCTGCAGCTATAGAACCAATGCCGAGCACTGCCACCCAGGTGGGTGTGAGATGTTGCAGAGCGAGAGGCAAGATCTTCCCTGCATCTCCACGCTCAAAAGGAGGGGGAAGACCGTATGCAGTCTGGTTCCAGTCTTAGGGAAAACAAGAGGAGGTTACCAAGGCAGACAAATACATGATGGCAAAGCTGAGATTTTGGATATATTAAAATGCAAAACAGAAAACAGACATATCTATGGTGCTATGAAATGTACTATGGTCAAGATTAAAGAGTGTAACGTGTATTGTTTTCTGATGTAATAGTGTCACAGGTCACCTGCAGCAGAAGCCATCACTCCAATGACAACTGAGGGGATTCCCATAATAAAAACTGTCAAAGCCGCAGCAAAGCAGCATATCTGAGCCTGAACAGAAGAGGCTGCTGAAAGAATTCTTTGATATAGAGCTTGATAAGACAGTCCCCCTAAAGCCTGCAACACCAACAAAACAGGATTAGAAAATTAAACTACTTTACACTTATCACACCGACCATTTCTCACTTCATGCGAAGTGAAGCAGAACTGGGTCTATATATTAACAATATGTCTTCATATGCACTGTACTCTTCCTTAAATGATAACTAGAAAGTAATTATCAAATAAAATAATTTTACTGAAAATTGGAGGTTATTTACAAAAGCCTAAATATGATTTTATTGCACATAAATTTTTACCATAAGAAGCATGTCATCAACCCACTTTCCTGCAACTTCCATGTCCAGGTTTCCCAACCATGCATGTTCATGTGTTTGGTTGAGTGGGAGTGTATGTGAGATGACAGTAACTGCTGGACTAAGAACCATAAAAGGAACACAAAGCCACTGAAAGACAGATAAAAAAAATGGCTGTCTTCCAAATTTTAGCTCAATCTGTAAGATTGCAGTTTCATATTTTTGGCCTTTGCATACATCTCCTTAGTTCACTTTTTATTCCCACATGAGCTCAAAATTCTTACCAAGCTGACAAAAATAAAGCAAAGCTGAATGATATCAGTGTATGCAACTGAGTAGAGACCCCCTAATAATGTGTAGACAATGGAGACAGCTGCTGAGATGATGATGGAGATGGTAGAAGACAACCCAAGAATTATGCTCACTGTTCCACCTGAAAATCAAAACAAATCACCCACCAGTTTGTTTGGACAGACCATCATAGCAACATTAACAAGATGCAAGATTATTGGCAAGATTACGGAAACATCTGAAAACCAAAAGCGGTAAATAAAAAAAAACAAAAAAAAAACAAGTATTTTATAAGTATACAGACAGAATTATAGGATAGTTATTTTATTCACATTACACATCATGCCATTAAGATGCAGAAGAAGCTTTATTTACCAAGAGCAGCAAGGATACAGGCCACCCATAATATGTCGCTGACCAAAGCAGGAAGCAGGAGTATTGCAGTGAATACTTTGCCATAGCGATTCTGAAATGGGTCCAACATTGTCACATAACGCTTTGACCTCATAGGTTTTGCAAAAAACAATCCAGCTACAGAAAGAACAGAGAGAAAAACAAATTTGGGGTCTGGGCATGGCTTCAATCTTAAAGTCTGGTCTCAGTCATGATCCTTCTAATTAGTGAGAGTTTTTGTAAAATGACTTTCTCATAGGTAATTCTTCTGACAAGAATGAAGGGTCAAGATGGCAAAGGCAAAAATGAAACGCATTATAGTACTTCCCATTAATTAGTTCAGCAATATCTCTACAAATGAAAGTCTTTGGTTTTTAACTAATCTTACAGATCATACAAATATTTAGTTTTTTATGCTGCCTGCACAGAATATTTGGAAACATTCTGTCAAGTACATGGACAATAGGAGGAACTTTATGTGACCTGGTAAAAATACAAGCTTACAAAATTTAATATTAGGCATGTGCAAACAATAAAGGAAACTATAACCTTCAACTGTGCGTCATACAGAAAGAATTTGTTTTTGACTACTTACCCACAAAAAAACACAAGACATATGCAGGGGGGCCCAGAGCCCAGACAAGACCTTGAGAAGGAGAATAAACAGACTCAGCAGTTCCCATAATGTAACCACCACCAACCCATGTTGCTAAAAGTAAAGCACAGAAACAATGTCAGTGGGTATGAAAACACAAACAGTAGTTATAGCTTTAACATATAAAATGAAACGCTCTCCACCTGTCATGGTGAAAATTCCAACCAGGATGTTGATGTTGCGGCCACCAACGATGGCAACTTCACTCTTTGAGCCGGAGCACTTCTTCTCCACTTTCTTGGATTTTCGAGACCCCCAAACTCCAATTGCCAGGATGCAAACATAAAAAACAATCACAGAGACGAGTCCAGGGACATCTACTGCCATGATGATTCTGGTCACAACACAGATACAATGCCTGACTCTTACACATGTTTTAATGTGTAAAACACAATAAATAGCACATGACTTTGATAAAACAAAACAAAGCTTTTTCCAATCTGTCAGTGGTGGTTTATGGTACAGATTATGAGATCATTATGATGTCCTGAGATCATAATAATAATAATAATAAAATAATTGTTTTGTTTTTCGAGGGGTGAATACCCACAGGGGATCAGAAGGAAGGAATCATCAAGAACTCCCACTGATTGGAGCAGAAGATAGTAATTTAAACTTCAGATGCGTAATACTGTCATCTCCTGGAGCAGTTACCGCTTGTTTTTTTTATTTTTGTTTTTTATATTGATAAAAAGCTATAAACTGAATACTCCCTTCATCCATCTACCTGTCAGCTTGACTTCAACATGTTATTAAAACTCTTCAAAGGCTGCAAAGGTGAATTGTTGTAACGCAAGTTTTGCTTACAGCTTCAAACAAATGAGTTCATGTCATCCCTCCTTCTGGGTTCACCACAACAGTAAAATTTAATCAATAATTTAACTGAGAAAATTGTGAACCCACACAAAAAAGAGAGGTGAGGGTGGGGGGGGGGAGGGGCTTTGTTCACGACAGTTGGAAAAGAAACAAGAGGCATAGGCCCAGGTGGAACTTTTTTCTCATGAACCCTGTATCTTAAGCATCCATGGGAGAGAGATTGTTTCTAATATTTTTAGGCTTAATGATTTTCCACCAGGATGCTTTATTTATTATAGAACTTCAAAAACAATGAGAAGGCCCTAAGGAAGAGATTAATGCTCATTCCTTTATTAAATAAAATTAATACCAAATAAATTTAGGAGGTAGTTTAGTCAAGCAAAATATTATACCCATTTCCCAGTAAGGATCATAAAATCATTCCATCTCTTAGTGATGTTGTTTTATTTTTTTTATTTTGAATTAATTGCAAACTGAGCAGAACAACTTTGCTGTTTCGGGATCACAACTTGCCATAAATGATGAAACCAACAAATTTCCTTTGTTGGAAATTTGTTGTAACAGAAAATCCTAAAGGACAATGTTCAGCCATCAATTGGGTTATGCAGCAGGGTAATGCTCAAAAGATCATTCAAATCTAAACGGCTCATAGAAAACAAAGGGAAAGTTTAAGAAAAGACTAGTAAAGTCTGATTAAGATGCTATTCTAAGGTCTTCAACAGCCCTTTCACTTTTAAAACATGTTTGATGTGCACTATTCTGCAAAGATAGCCATGATGTGGGACAGTGATGTGAAAGACTTGTTCCGAATCAACACAAATGCTTTAGGGCAGATGATGAAGCTTATTATAGCTCACAGTTGCTTTGGATTGTATTTTTTCCCCGAAAGAATTAAATAAATCATTTTAAATGTTCTCTTATCTTTTATCTTTCTGTGACACTGAAGTTTGTGATAATCAGAAACATTTGTGACAGAAAAGCAAAAAGAAAAGAAAAATCTACAAGGGAGAAAACACTTTTTCAAAGCGTCGTAGGTTTGGAGACAATGGCCAAAAAAATAAGATCCAAGAAGACTGGACCTCACAACTTCAAAGTCTTGAAGAATCTGCAGTTAACATATCAGGGCCAAAAATCATAACACACCTTCTGGTGTGAAGAGGAGCCAATAGATTAACAGGTACAGGCAGGTGCAGTACTGATGTTACACCTCTATTGTGTAAGGGTGAGCTATGCTAGTTTTAAAGCACAGACAAATTTGGAAGTCTTCCAGTTACCTTCATCACAACAAGGCAGTGGTTCTCAACTGTTTTCTGTCATGCTAGAGCACATTATTTTCAATTAGTCTATCTATGACGCTGATGTTATCAACTGTCTTTTCATTCAACTTTTGTTTATTACTTGTAATATCAGAAATACATTCAAAAATGCAAGTAAACAAATTATTGAATTACTTGAAATGCAATAAAACAACATTCCCTTAGTGTACACAGGTTGTGCAAAGGATGCATCTTTAGATAAGACATACCTCTAACAATGCTGTCAGTGGTAAAGAAAGGCAATGGTAGCCAACATTGGCCCCCAAACTATTTGAGAAGCACTTCCCACAGACCAAGGAACCATATGAGGTTGGACTGGATGCCACAGAAAATTAACAAGGTGTGGGTGCTGATTGTTGCTTCCATATACAAATGTAGCTTATCATGCAAGTTGATGAAGAACATCCCAGGGTGTTTGATGTGTTGTACATCCCGGAGTTCACACCGCCGACATTTGAAAATACAATTAAAACTGAAAATAACCAAATTTTGAAGACCCGACCTCACAAGACATGCAGTCAAGTCATGTCTCGTCTACATGTCTTGCTTGTTTTTTGTTGTTTTTTTCACCATATACTGTATGTTTATTATCAGACTCAGCGGCTGATTCACAGAAGAATTTGTAGATGCTAAATGTTCTCATTCTGAATCTAAAGCCAAAGGTAAATCTATTCCTAAAATAGTTTAGGAACTATTTTATTCCTAAACAGTGTTTAGTTCCCAAACACTGTTAAATGCATGTGTTTAAGTAAAAACCTGCATGGTGCCCTGAAGGTTAGAGGTCAGAGAAGGTTCATTGGGTGTAAATTGTTCAAATCTTTTGTAGTTTTTGGTAGGCTTGCTCTTTAGTAGTACACATAAGAATCTATAGCAGAAATGAAGCAAATGATACAAAAGAAAAAGTGGAGGACTTTGCTTCCCATGGTGTTTGAGAGCCTAGGGGGACTTTTTCCTTTGAGCGCCTGACAATGTGTCAATGCGCTGTCCGACTGAGAGAAAGAAGGAAGACCAATAGAAAACCACAGAACCTGGCTTTAGGAGGCTTATCTCGTCCTTCTATTTCTTTTGCCATGTGTTTTTATTAAACTGCATGCAACGACAGAAATGTACAATTTGCTCACTTAACGCTCCTTAACATAGCTGCCTGTCACGGCGTGAATTCATAGCGAGTAACAAAACGAGGAAAAAAAAGGATCATAAACAATGATTCACCTGTCTAACTCTGCTGCCAGTTATGAATGATTATTTCTGTGCAGGCTCTTCGCCTTTCTGCTCAATCCGTCATCGGAGACTTATTTGGGAATAAATCGGGTAAAACTCACCTCTCAGTAAAGCAGAGATCCCTCCTCGCTGAAACCTCGCTCTTATTAACTTGAACTAGTTGGCAGGTTGTAAAAACCGGGATGTCATGATGAGTTCAGGGCCCCGCCACAGAGCGTCGTTATGTTCAGTGCGCCTTTTCATATTCGCTGACGCTTCAGTTCGCCTTCATCGTAAGTCGTTGCACAAATATGTGATAGTGCACAAGAAGTCACGCTGCTTAGTTCACAAAACCGAGACAAAACGGATATTTTGGGTTCCACTCAAAGAAACCCAGTAAAAAAGTAAAAAGTATTCTATTTTACTTTTTTACTTGAATGCACCTCGCAGTTGGAGGCGATGAGCCAGTTTGACTGCTACCTCCGACATATTTATAATTGGATTTTGGTAAAATTTCAAAAGGTTCAGTAGGAACAAACAAAGATATTTTTAAGAGCAATTTTGTGTGGGTCGGCACAGTTAAATATAACTTACAATGTGGTTAAAAAAGTTTTTAATGTGTTCAAGCTGCAGAACCAAAAATGACTAGCAATGCTCAAACATGTTTTTCTCATTAAGCAAACCATTGAGACGCTTAAAAGTTAAATAAAAATGTAAAATCTCGTACACCTTTACAAAGATGGAAGGCTATAAATAAAAACAAGTTTTAATAAGTGACGCCACTTGATAAAATTTCTCATAAATATTGATTTATTGGAGTGACTCACAAGTTATGTGTTATTTAAATTATAACTTGCTAAGTTGCTTTATGTTCAAATCTTTTTAAAATTTGCCAACAACCCAGTTGCAGTGTTTAGTCCCTGAAAACTCTTCTCAAAGTTGAAGAGCTAAATATAATTGAGAGATTTGCTATCTTCGACAAAAAAAAGTTTAAGTCTATCAAAACAATGTAGCCAGTTTTAATTTCCAAGGCATAATGAGGCAGTTTATCAGCCAAAGTAATAAAAAAATAAAATAATAAATAGTCTGATTTTTATTGTTAATCTATTTCTTCCTATTGAACAGTGAAAGTAAATAATGTTACATGTATTTTGCTTTAAGTATTAAGTTATTGGATGTTTTTTTATATTAGGGTTAGTGCTACAGAGCCACAGTTAGCTCCTCTCTTCAGAGGCTCTGATGAAGCCTGTGCTGATCGCAGTGCTGCTGTTGCTGCTTCCACACTTAGGACACATTTTGTTCTAACAATGGCTGGGGTGGACCTAAATTCATTTGTATTTTTGTGCCAGAAGTGAGAGCAGGATCACATTTGAACTATTTTGTCAATTTGTGAAAAACACTGCATCTCTTTAAAGCTCTCGTTTCTGATAATGGGCCGCATGGCAAACCACCCAGGGCAGCATCTTGTGGAGAGCAACATAAGCTGCCTGAGCACCACCCGCTCCTACTCTCACAACCGGAGGATCTGAATCTGAATCTCAGCAGTGCCTAAAGTAGAGCACAATGAAAAACTTTGGGTGTGTTAGGCGAATTGAGGGACACCAGAGAGATGGTTTGCCCAAACCGGCTAGAAACACCTAGCTGGTATGTGCACTGCTCAGCTTGGGGCGAAGTGCTTGCATTCCAAACTAATTACACATTCCAATTTTACTGTGCGTACAAATGCAGCTTTGTAAATTTTAACACTACACGTCATTGTTGGATTTCCCATCTTCCTCTACTGCCTATGATGTACGGATTTTTAATGATATCAAACACTGGGCAAAAGGCAAATAACATTGGCCTCAAAATCACCAATGACTACAGTTACCTGTTTGAGAAACATGAGTGAATTTCAGTTTATACGGAATTAAGCAATTGCTCTATGACTATATCTGTCACCAGTCAGTATATTCTAGACCAAATGCTATGGAAAAATTCCACTTAACAATTGCAATGGAAATATTCAGCTGCTTCATCTTAATAAGGGAAGAGACAGTGCATTTAAATCTGGAGAGACTCATACAGAGAAGAAAATAGCAGTTAAAGGATTTAATGGTACAAGATCTTTGGCGCTTGGACCCGACAGAAGACTGTGCCGAGGATCACTGCGAGCAGGAGATCGGCTCGGGCGAGCTCGGGATAGTCTTCCCCGGGGACCGAAAACTGGTGGTGGAGTGGAGCCCGGAGATGGAGGAAGTGCTTCTGGAGGAATTCCATCAGGATGAAGGTGGAGATGGGGAGGAGGTGGGTCAAAGCGCGGCTGATGAGCAGGCAGACCCAACGTAGCTTGAACTCTTGAAGGCGTCCTTGAACGATGATTGGCTGTAGCGGCACGGCGGTCCGGTCCTTGCTGGCTGCGGCGGGGTCGTGGTGATTAGATGATGTGGAGAAGCTGGATCTAGTCTCCCAGCTTTAATTTTCGCCTAGGCTCCATATGACAAAGCGTTAGTGCTGGTTTGTGGTTGTGAGTATCATAGTATCATATAACCTTATCACAATGGTCAGAGTCCAGCCTCGAAGCTTCTTACGTATCAAGTAAAAGCACTGATTCAGTTAGAAAAGGTCGTTTTTATTGTGGAAATTTCAGGTATTGTTTATGATGTTTGTGCCCATTACAATTAAATTGGAGGTAGTGACCCGGGGTCTAGGTGGGCTGCTGGACGTGTTCTAGTTGCAAGTGCCTCAGGAATAGAAGCCCAACCCCAGCAGGATCACAAGTACCCAGGATCCAGAAATTAACATCTTGTTCAGCTCTATGGGTGTCCAGGAATGTGTGAGCGACCACTTCATATTCTCTGCCGTAATCTGTCCTGTAAGGAAAACAAATCATTAAACATTTGGTTAGAGCAAAAATGTCTCAACTGCCAAACACAAACTTTTGGACTCACAGTATGACCCCTTAATCTTCATCTTTCCAACACACACAGAAGAAAATTGTAGAGGAAGTTTAAAAAACATATAGCGGTAAGGAGAACAACAAACAACAAAACTAGTTATGTCATTACACTGTATTAATGCACCTTTGTAACTCTGAATAGCATTGTAAAATAAGTCAGCAAATAATTTTACTAAACAGTGTTTGAACTGAATACTTGACCCATGTTAGGTGAACTGCATTCAGCTGGAGTTTAATTACTGTATCAGTGAAGTAGCATAGAGGAGATGAGCGTTTGCCAGTTCTGAAGTGCTAAGGAAGCTTATATTGCTTTAATAAAATCTGACCTCTCACATTCATCAAATCTCCATGACAACCATGAGACTTTGCCTGCATATCCATCAGTTGTGTGATGCCAGATAGAGGACTTTACTTTCCTAATTCTGACTCTCATAAATGTGAACACATGGCGTTCGGACAAATTCTTCTGGAACTTTGGCTAGAAAAATGTGCTTCCATCAATTTCCTACTGAAACCTGATGTTTGTTAAAACCCAGAAACTGAATGTGCACCAAAAGTACTGGTGTACAGATGTGTAGACACACATTAGTTTAAGCACATTTCCTTTGCAAATCCCAATCAAATTCCACATTTGGACACACCTTACTTTACATATGCAAGAAGGTGAAAATAATTCATGTTTTTGGTTTGGGTCCATTAGGAAATCATCTTCAGCTTTGCTGTATACTTTTCAAGGCAATGATACATACTAATCCAATGTCAAAGGATCAATGCCAAATCAAATATATCTGAATTCACCCTGTGGGTATTGCACAGTTCTGCCCTGGGCCATATTCTAGATCTCAAGTTGACCAAAATGTCTTTCATATTGTCAACAGTATCCCTGTATGCTCTGCAGGTGTCGCCAAAGGGACAAGTATCTGTAGATTTTTTGTGTGTGTGTATGAAAGAGATGATGCTGCTGTAGTAAAAGCTGGATTTTCACCAGCAGTGTAAAACCACCACCTGTGAAATATCAATATCCCATTCAGCTGGAGTTTATAATAAAAGTTAAAAAAAAAAAAATAAAAAAAAATACAAAGATAGAATACCAGAGAAGCTTTTCACTCAGAACAGCAAGGCCTTCATTTGTCATGCAGTGGACGACCAGCACCTTCTCGTTAGCCTGCAAAAACATATAAAGGGTAGTTTTTGTTTTACATAACATTTCACATGCTGTCTTCAGTAGTGCACGTATCTAACTGTTAATAACTTACAGGAACTGGCAGACCCTCAGATTCAAATCTTTCCTGGGGGTCAAAGTGCGATATTTTCCACCATGACAAAACACTTAAGGTGTCATCCAGATAAACGTCTTGGAGTCCAGACTTCTTTGCACGCTTTAAATTAAACATAATAGGTGATAGATGCACATGTTTTCATCTCAGTGATTTTCACTTATTATTTGTGATAAATGTGGATGTACCTTTAGGAAACGCGGTTTATCACTGGTCAAGTAAAGCTGAGGCAAAACATTAACAGAAAAAAAGCAGTGATCAAATGACAGATTAAAGATAGTGTTCAAGAAGAAATGTTGACTTTTTTTTCTGTTTTTTTTAACAAAAAATAATACATTCAATGTTTTATTTCTGGAATTCTCTTTTTTTGTGTTAAGGAATTTTGCAAAGAACATTTTAACCTGCAATAAGAAGACTTGTAAATATTTTTTTACTTTTAGGTTAAAAATTCTCAACAGAAGCTCCAGAAAGCTGATAAAGCCCACTTAGAAAGTAAGCTAACTTACTCTATAAAGAGCTTGTTCTGTTCTGCACTACAAGGATTTGTAAGGCAGAGTAAACTCCTGTTTTTGTGTCTGACTGGCTGCTAAGAGATTACTCAAGGCTACCCTGCAGGTGGTGTACAACTAACTAAATTATGAATGAGTTCAAGTGCAACAACAACCATTTCCAGGTGAAACGAAGGTCAATAGAAACTTTACCTGACTTCAGGTGTTAATTATTAAAAAAAACTTTTGTCACAAGGCACTTTGTTCTTGAATAAATTTGCTCACAAAATATGTATATTTCCAAGAACCTGAAGATAATTACTTTTCTACTTTCCTATAACACACCAAAATTAGTATTAAGGACCACTCTCCTGAGATCTTTACATTATATTAAATATATTACAGGACAGTGTAGAAGAAAATGAAACTAAGCTGCTTTTGTTTTAACTTACTTGAGATGAAAGTATATAACTGATTTAAGTCATGCGTGATGTACGTCAAACTGCATCCTGATATAATCTGTGTTTTCTGTGTTTAACACAGAACAGAAAATGAACATTTTAAATTTAACTTATGTGGAAATATTATTTCCTGAGGCAATAATAACTCACTAAACCTCATTCAGCTCCTTCTTAACAAAATGTATGAGGCCTGTAGGATTGCATATTTGACCAGGTCAAAATTATTTACCAAAGTCAAATAAAAATTGTACATTATCCTGTTAAATGAACTGAAAAAGGCAAAATAAAAGTCAAAATAAGAGACATGAAAACCAGCACAATTCCCTTTTGAAGCTGTAATATTGTGTGAGCTCAGTTTAGATTAATTTTCTTGGTTAGTAATCTGCTCCAAACTCTAATGATCACAAACCAGTCCAAAAACTATAACTTTGGGGATTTTTTTTTTTACTGCCACATGTTTACAATATTGTCTTTCAAGTTTGTTTTAACTCTTTTTTTGCATGTATTGCTATCTTACTAAGGTTATTGCTTTTTGCAAACTTTTTAATGGTCATTTTTAAAAATAAACATCTAGAATTAAATTTAAATGAAGAATTACTCATCAATTTTGACAACTCGATACAATCAGCTGAGCGGCTGTAGATTTTTTTTTTTTTTTTTTACCAACTCCCATGATAGAGTGAATTTTACTAAATTTATAGCAAGGTTGGATTTGCAATATGTGCAGTTGAAGTTATATCTTTTTTTATGAATAGACCACACTGACTACATATTCTCTATATGTATTGCCTTACAAAACTTGATGACATCTATTGAATGCCATCAAAGCATCATAACTTTCCAATCAGTTCAGATACACCTAGATTTTGTGAGAACATGTACAAACCAACTAACACTAAAACAAATAAAGCTTCAGGAAAAGGTTTTACTTACTCCTTTGGCAAAGCCACTTGTTGTTCTGAGAGCAAAACTCTGGTCAAAATGCAGAGTTGATCCTTCAGGACTGCCATCAACACTGCACCACACAGACAATGTCAGCTAGGTGCTCACTCTTCAGTTTCTGTTAAAGTAATTTTCTTACCTGGTGATGATAAAAGCAGTGCGAATACAGGGTTGAATTCCTTTTCCTGCGCTGAGCCCGCATGGTAACTTAATGCTCGGCGTGGGTGTCTTTATCACATTGTCGACATTGGCGTTGATGCTGAGAGCACTGTGCTCCCTGTCTTTTCCTCCCACATTCACCAACATCACAACATCTCCAAAACGTACCTGTCCGTTGACTGTCGCAGAGAGATTAACCTGCACATAAAAACAGACACTCTCATCACCACTGATGCCTGTTGTGCATCTGTGGCTAGAGCTTTTAAATCAGCTTAGATTTATGTTACCGGCTCCAAAATGTTTTGTTTGAGAAAGTCCACTTTCTGAGAAAGAAGCTCTCCCCGCTCTCTCTTGTGAAGAAATTCTTTTATTGTATCCTGGAAAAACAACGGCAAATAAAATTTTTCTCTGCAAGCTGTTATTTAGCACTACAAACTGTGAGTTTTTTTTTTTTCATTATCACAATGTCTCAAAATAAGAAGAGATAAGTACTTGTTGCGAGAAACATGCGCCAGTCTTCTGACAGACTGGGAAGAGCACAGAGAGAGATAAGAGAACTATTTTTACCTCTGGTCAGCCCAGCATTTCACTGAAACTTCCCAAATAAGTCTCCTATGACGGGTTCTCTGGTCAACAAACACTCTAAGTTTGTTTAAAACTTAGAGCGCTCTTTTGCTTATATATTTTGCTTATATATGTAAAAACTCCATTATGTTTTTTATGGTGTACAGCGCTTTCAACTGCTTTGCTAAAATGTGTTTTACAAACAAACTTGATTTGACCTGACATATTCTATTTCTAATTCCACAGATGTCTTAAAAGTACTCTTAAAATGTAATGTTAAAAAGTTTTATGTGACTTGACTTTCAGATAGATGGTAAAATATTAAGCGACATAACACAGAATTTTCAACAGGAATAAGAAAAAACCTTTAAAAGTATGAAACTTGAAGAGAGAAAAAAATTCTGAACAAATCAACTCATTCACAAAGCTTTCCTGCTCTCCCATGTTCTTCTTTTTTTTGAACACCAGCTGAACATTTTTGGTCATTATCAGATAATTATGTTAACTAATTTCAGCCAAATAATTTCTGATGACAATTTAATAATAATGTGAATACTCGTTATATAATAACTTCATTTAATTGTTTTTTTAAGTTATTGTTTAAAATAACTTGCTATTTCAAAATACAAAACTTTGTTTTGTATTCTGAAATAGCAAGTTTTTTGTGTGTAATTCTCCTCTAGATACCTTCTGCAAAGATCCAGCAGATGTTGTTAAGCTCAAAATGATTCATACTCATGGCATTGTCAAATTCAAAATAATTTCTATTCTATTCAATCAAAAATGTATCACTGAGAATGAGGTGGATCTCTCAAGAATAATAAAATCCATTAAAATTCTAATTTGAAAAAAAAGTATTGTTTTTATCAAAATTTTATTTTACTTTTTCTTCTTTTGTCTTCATCATCTTCTTATCGTTGTTAATATTTATTTGAAAATTTCATGCCGAAAATTATTCCATCTTTTTTTTCAATGGAAAAACCTTTCTTTGCATTGCAGCAATCAAGCTCTTTTTATTGCGAGAGTGTTTTGCATGTTTCCAATGTTTTCATAATTTATCTTTAGGACAAGCTCCAGTCATTGAAGTTGGAAGGCCTCTATGCCATTTCCACAAAAATTCTTTTAGCTTTAAGTCAGGACTGTTAACATCCTTTCTAGTCAGAAGAAACTTGTTGGTCAAATTTAAAGAAAATACTTTATACCTATATCTACCACGAGCATGAAAATTTTAAAACTTCATCATAATAAATGACTAAGAACTTTAGGGTATTTACCTTCTGCTTCCTGCTTTAACCTTAGGTCAATAAATTGATAAAAATAAGTCAATTATTTTATATTGCCACACAAGGCTATATAAGACAACAATAAAAGCAATTTGATGCACTGGATTTTATTTTGGGGTGTAAAATTAAAGTGGAGTAAACACAAATGTACACTTCATATTTGTATCAATAAAACATTTTCACAACTTGGTAAATCAAACTGAGTTTAAAAGAAGAAGAAGAAGAAGTATTTAGGAGACACTTTGATCATGCACAAATTAAGCTATGAGGTTAACTTTCATGAAAATGCTAAATGAAATAAATTAAAACCCTTTTAGTTTACTGTAAATTCTAAACTCTTATTTTCATGTTTCTTACTGATTTAGCTAAACTATGTCAATGTGACGGCTGGCTCAGATAAGATGTCCTCATTTTCTTTTCTACAAACCTCCTTTAGGACCAGGTCTTCTACCCAGTTTCCGATTTTCACCTTAGGCTGATACAGTCGCCGATAAGTCATTTTGACGATAGCTCTGAAACGCTAACAAACACACAAACGCAGCAGCCAGTATGCTAACAGATTTCGATAACCATAGCTTTAAGCTACAAGCGGTTTCTATAGAGACGGTTTCCCTAGGTACGAGCTTTAACCGCGTCTCACCAGCTGCCGCTAGGGGGCGTGCTGGTATTACACATGAGGACATCGATCTTTCATGGCCTGCCTTCCAAACAATTAACAAGACACAAATAAATACTGATTTGCAGCGTTCTGAGAACACCAACACGGTCATAAAATGTGATAAATACACAAAGTTTGATCAACTGCTGCATGAACAGGTTCATATAACTTCAAGTGTCAAAATCAGTCTTGTATTTTTTTTTTTTTTTTATGATCGCGCCAATTTGTACCCTCATAAAATACAAGTAAACTCATGAACGAGCTAATCCTAAGTTTTAATTAGGGCTAAAATTAAATCACACTATTTATGTTCCTTCACAGTTCAGTAGAAAGTGTCCATCTGTCATGGGTGATGCTCCTCTTTTCTCTGTGTAAGTCAGTGGCCGTTAGCTCGATCTCTGGCACCATTCATGGCACCATTAATATGATTCATTTTGCGTCTTATATTCTTTTGCGAATCACTGTCGTCCTCCTCTTCATCGCTCCGAACATCGCCGTCCAGTTGCTGGGTGAAAACATGCCACAGAGAAGATTTAGGACCAAGAGGCAGACATTTAGCCAAGAAACACTGCACTTACACACAAACCATTTTGAACACACCTTGTTGAAGACAAACTTGTAAGCCATTCTTGTTATTAGAAAAGCCCAATAGACATGTAGAATTTGTAGAACCAGTAACATGACGTTGAAGAAATAGTAGCCAAAGAAGGGGTCAAACCTCTCCATTGGGTACACCCATGTACAGTGGATGAGCCTGTAGATGTACTTGTTATTCTCCCTTAGCTGTCAGCTGTAATGTGCCACACAAACACATTTTTTTTTTTATTTACTCACCAAAAAGGAAAAATAACAAGTCTTGTCACCATGAAGACAGTTGTAAATATCACAAACATAACATTAGCAGTCTGGTCCCATTTTGCGTAGTTAAACAACTTTCCTCCCTGTAAAAGAAGCAAAGACAGGGATAAGAGCCTTGTTTTTCTTGGAAAAAAAACAGAGAAGCAACAGAATAACAAGTATACTTTTACTTCAGGAGAAATAACAAAGCAGACAGGGAGTAAAGGGAGGAGAATAGATATGCATCCCAAACCTTTTAGATTTTTATTAATAAAAAATGTCTTTTTCCATCCACTTCCCTAATACACATGGCTATATGTTGATATATTGGTAATATACCTGATATTGATGACTATTCTAGGTTCAAGTCCCTTAGTTTATAAATTTATAAGTAATAGACCAACATAATGTCATGCAGATAAATATTTTTATCCATCCATCTAAAATTGTATACAGTACCAACTTTTGTTTCTAAGACATTTTAGGCAATTACATTATAAGCATATGTGTTGCAGCTTTCTGCTTTTTAAAGTATTCACAGATTTAGATAAATAATAATAAAAAATACAAACAATTTTTACTGTAAATTGTAAAAAAACAAAGTCTGTTATGTAAATAAACAGGCATTATTGAGCCTGCAGACATTTGTTATGGAAAAAACATGCAAATTATGGTGCATAAGAGAATGCATCTAATTTTTATACCTACGCTGGTCCTCCTATTCACTTAGTCATGGCTCTCTTTGTTGTTTCTTTGTCAAACACATAAATATCTTCTCATTGGACTTTTGTTTCCCTGAATGTCAGACGTAGACAATGAATAACCACTGCTTTATCAACAAACAGTCTTTCTTATAGCAACAACTATAATTCAGAATCATTGCAACTGGAACATTACAAGAGCACTGACCTCAAGCAGTATGTCAGAAGAGTCGTGAACAGCCATCACAAGAGTTCCAATGCGGATGTAGTTAGAAATCCAGGAGAAACTCAGAAGTGTCAGTGTGGCTACATGGTGAATCACCTGCTCTTTAAAGTCCTGCCAGCATGCAAACCACAGGCTAACATTACTCCATTTTGTACAACTCTAACATTGATTTTATTGAGTCAGTAGTGGTATGTGCTACTCTTTTTTTTCTATAAGTCATGCAATCCTTCAAAATGATCAGTTTATGAATGTAATAGGAAATGTGATTTAACTTCAATATAAAATCCAATAATAGTAAACAATAAAGATTTGTTAAGTTTGTACTTCAGCACACTTGTATACTCACTTTTCTTTTTACATCAAACGTTAGGCTGAGGAGCAGAGAAAGGTAGAAGCCCATTTCCAAGGTATAATACCAGTACTGTGATGGGAGCATGGACTGAAGGAATATTTAGCAAACATAAAACATTTTCATGAATCACGCTGTTTACACTCTTGTACAGCCTATGCTGGTACAAAAAAGGGAATAGAGTTACCTGTTTAGGAAATTCTGCCCAAACCTCTTTTAGATCATAAAACCAAGGTTTCTAAAGTCGACAACAGGACAAAGAAGAAAGTAAGAAAGAGCTGAACCAAAAGCAAAAAAAAATATTGCTTATTTGCTTGGTAACTTGTGGTCTTTGGATTTTACATGTTTGCCCAAGCAGCTTCTAGCATAATAACAAATAAATTCACATTAAAGGTGGAAAGCGAAAAGAACAATAAAAAATTTCTGAGAACTTACATCGTAAAGGGCGAAAAGTCCTCCAAGGAATGCACAAAGATAAAAGCTGCATCTCCAACTGGCCGAACACAGGAGCAGTAAAGTTAAATGTTTACATGGAGACACTTATTGTCCTACTAGTACAAAAATCTTTGTGTCCACATCCACCCACCTGGCTTCACAGAACCTCTTCCGAAGCCCAGGTCGATCTTGATTCCTCCTCCTCCTGAACCACACTTGTACTCTCCTTTCTGGCCAGCCTATCTTCTTACACAGGGACCGAACATCAGCCTGAGACACAAAGCAAACAGGTCAGGTGTTCAGGACACAATCAACAGCAGTTGTTTGGGTTGGCTACATACAGAGACACAAAAGACAAACAACAATGCAGACATGGACACTTCACTCCAAAGGTCAGTTTCCGTCCAAATCCTGAACTGTGAAAGGAAGTCGCAATCACAAGAGAGAACTCGAGCATGGTGGAGATAATATGACAAGCAAAATCACTGCCAAAAGGTCACTGTCTGGGACTTGAACCTAAAATAGTCTTACTGCTCAGCCAAACAGCTCATGAATTGTCTTTTTATCAACAACATGTTGTATTTGCATATGAAGTTTATCTTTTTCATGATCTCAGACTTGAAAATATGGCAAAAAGAAAAAAATATTTAAGGGATAAATGCTTCAATACAACACTGGAGGTTTATTTTAAAACACCTTATTGAGATTCTTAGTCTCAATATATCTTTGTTGCTGTATTCGAGCAGCAACATTGTAAATTTACTTTCTTTTTAATTTCTTCCACAATAAGTTCTTTTATTTATTGAAAAACATCAACAAAAACTACAAAGCACAACACATTTCTGCTTGTGATTTAAGTGTGTAAGAAATAAACTGTCTTTTAACTTACCTTTGAAGGATTCCGGGTTTGGCTGTAGAAGTACTTCTCCAGGGTTGAGTTTTGCTCAGCTGTGAGACGTACCTTGTCTCTGATCCCTAGAGCATCAGCTAGTGGTGTGGCCAAGAACCTGAAACAGTATACATAGCTCTGTGACCCTTCCTTATAGCACAACAGCAACAGCTTTTTAGAATCTCTTAGATAATAATCCCAGTATATTGAAATTAGACGATGGTGCTCTCAGTCACGATTACTCTTAAGCTGTGTAGTCTTGCCTTTCAAAGAGGTATCTGACAACTAGCAGGCAGAGAGCACAAGGCACAGCTGCATAAAGTTGAGAGGCTTTGGCATAAGTTCGATCTTCTTTGTCTTCGAGATCTGCCCAGGAGACTTTCTCTGGAAGCCACAGACGTTCCCACCATAGCCAGTCTTTGATCGTCTGCAACATGATGCTAAAAATTTGGAGGGAATAAACAAAAACAAAGCAAGCACAAGTTAAACAATACTTATTGTGGTCTTCTTTTTACATTTTTCTGGAATAACATAAAGAAAGCATTTTTAGGGAGAAGACTATACTGGATTCATAATTATTTTGTTATTATGATTTTGTACAATTTTCAACATATTTTAAAAAATCTGACCTGAGGATTTAATCAATCAGAACATAAAATTACATTTTTTGTTTTTGCTATATCGCATATTTTGGTCCAAATAGATTTATGACTGAAAAAGGTCATTTCTTCTTTTTTTAAATCCCAAATCAGGAAGGTTTATCTCAAATCCATACAAAGTGTGGCATGTATATTTGTTTAGTGTCATTCATGTGTGCGCTCATTCAAGGTACTTTGCATCAATATAAGGGAAAATTGGTGTAGAGAATTACATTAAAGACAAGAATGACATTAAGAGAATAATTATAAAGATTCAACACAAAAGGAAAGAAACTGTGAAAGGCAATTTCATACAGAACAAATAGCTATAAAATAGTGGAAATTAACAAATGAAATAATCTTTGAATTTCATGTGAAAGATGAAGTAAACATATTTTCAGTCTCAATTTAAAAGAGCCATTTATTTCTGAATTTCTCATGTTTTCAGGAAGTTGGTTCCAGGGCTGAGAAGAATGCAAACAATATATTGCTCTCCTTTGTTTGGATATGTTCTGATGACCTGTAAAGTTCAGATGATTCATAGCCTAACCTTCCATGCTTTATAGATTATTGACAAGATTTTAAATTATATTCTTTAACAAACAGGGAGTCCTTCCAGTCAGTGCAGGACTGATGTGAGATGATCAGTTTCTCTCTCTTTTTTTTTTTTTTTGGTCAGGACAAGTCCTTGAGCTTATTGTTTACTCATGATTCCACAAAGAAAGTACATATGTTGGTGTGACTGAGCTTTTTCTGTGGCCGCGCTTTGACTCCGGAATCAACTCCTAATTAGTCTTTGAACTACAACTGAACTTCTCCCTTTTTAAATTAAAACTCAAGACACTTTATTTTTAAACAAGGAAGGCTTTTAATGCTTAAAAATGTGGTGGCACATTTGTTTTTGTCTATTATGTTTGCTTCGTTTGGTTTGATCGACCTTCTTTTTAGCCTGTTGATGTTTTCATTTATGTATTGATTTTGGTCACCAGTATTGAAGATGTATAAATGATTGCTTCATTGACTGACTGAGTGATTGAAGGTTGCACCTGCTCTGTGTCCAGTTTTGACGACAAACCCTTTATCCTGGCAATGATTTTTGAAAGTGGCAGGTGAATTTTGCAGTAGACTTGATATAGATTGTAAAAACTAGGACTAAATCCATGACTTGTTGAGTATGGCAGAATGTAGAATTCTAGCCTTAGCATCTTTGAAATCAAAAACAATTCTGTAATAGCTTGTGGTCATGTGGTGACAAAAAAATTAAAAGCTGTATATTATTAGCACACATATGGAAAAAATAAAATATTGCGTGACTTGGCAATCTGAACTGGGGGAGCAAAAAGATGTTAAATAAATCTAGTGCAAGAGCTGAGCCTTGAGGAACCCCACATGTGATTTTTGTTTGTTCAGTCTTATAAATACCAAATGAGACAACATAATGTGACTCGGGCAAAAATAAATAAATAAATAAATCACTCCCACACAGTAGCAATCAATCCCACTCAATTTTCCAGTCAGTAATCCAGTATGCTATGATCAACTGTGCCAAATGTATTACTGAAGTCCAATAATAGTGTTTATATGGGTCACCATGATCACTGGCAAGTTAAAACTAGAAATCAGCCTGTAATTATCTATTTTTGAGGCATCCAGTGATCTAGAATAAGTTACCAAATCTATGCGGTTAGAACCTGAAGTTATAAAAGAAGCCAGCAGTCTGGAGACAGAGAACCCCACCAGATATCAAAGGGCAATATGATAAAAAAGGTGAGGAACAATTCATTGAAGCAGAGATTAAAGAGAAGTAAAGTCCTTCCTCTTATGGACTCTGCCCATAACAAGAGTACAGAAAAAATATAACAAGCTAATTAAACAAACTGGCCTTCATATCTGAATTCAGGGCTTCTTAACAGAACAGACAATATGATCAATGCTTAATTAATTGTATTTACAAAGGCAGTATAAGCCGTATGAAAATGTCCCTGAAGCTCAGCAGTGGTTAATAAGTCGGCATGGGAAAAGGCAAACCTACCTGCAGGCGGTGTTGTCTTGACAAGTTTCAACAGTGAAGAGAGAAGCTGAAGCAGATATAGAGTGGGTTACCAGGTCTGATGAAAGTCAAGAAAAACACTACGCAACTCAAATTGCTCTTTACATAATCATTTCTCTCACAGTAAATCTTTTAATTTATGCTCTTATGTCTTTGATGTTATTGTTCTCTTCACTGACTTGAAAAAAAAATATATATATATATATCAGCAGAAAGAAATGAGCAGCATAGCAAATATTAAACTCAAGATTCACACACTTACCTTTACGCTGTGCCCAGAGCAAGCAATGCTGGGTGTTGTCTGGGAATCTGTCTGAGTGAGGTCAGTCTATTACTCATCCCCCTCATATACTGCGCTTAATAACATGAGATAACAGTTCTGTTAGATCCGAAAGCATTCAGGCTATTAAAAGGTCTCTTCAAGGAGAAGTAGGAAATCAAAGTAAAAAAATATTTGCTTGAAAATTAGTAATCGTCCTAATCTGAACAACGTGCATAACTGTGCTTGGGCTGTCTCCAGTGAGCATGTCAAATAGATTAGTAGATCTGTGTTTGGTTGCTCACCTGATGAAAAAGTCCTGGGTCCTTCCCTCCCACGTTGCCTGCTCTCTTGATCACACCCTTGTTGTTGCTACAAGTCGTTTGAGATGAGAAACGATTAACAGCTTAGTGCTCTTAGAACATTTTGGCAATAATTCTTTTAGTTTGCAAAGACTAAACTGCAACAAGTCATCTAAAGGACAGGATCAGGATCGTTTGCGTACCCTCACCTGCAAGAATTCCCTTGGAATGCCAACAGCCCCCACAAAGGCCCCATTCACTGGAGGGGCAGCAAGGGAGGAGGAGCCAAGCGAGAAAGAGGAACTCTCTCACACAAGAACAAAGAGTGAAACATCATGCTGCAAAGATAGCTACCTGAGTTAATAATAAACATTTAAATGGAGATTGAGCTACCCTGGGTGCGGCACACAGTCTCCAATTTCCTCAGTCTTTCTCAAGGCGAAGGTCATTATCAGGAACTAGTTTATGGCTTTATTTTGCGAGGTATTAGTTGTCTTGAACATACAGCTAGAGGGATATAAAAGTACAGCAAGTCGATGATACTCAGAGATTTCTGAGTCTTTGTTTTTTTTAATCTGAGACACATTTTGTTGTGTTATACCTGTGCCAGAGGAAGGCAACACAGACAACAAATGTAAGGCTACCACACATCTATCTCGACAAGAGGCTGAAAAAAAACTGCAGTTCATTTAATTTAAACATACACATTTTTATCTTACAGTGTGATGTATTTCAAGTAATTATTTCCATTAAAGTTGTTGATTATTGTTTCAGAATTTATAAAAATCTTAAAGTCAGTTGTTCAGAAATTAGGCTGTATTGCAGAAAACAAAATTTGAAGGATTTCTAAAGTCATAATGTTATAGTACAGCAAAATTAAAGTGTATGCAACAATGGGAAAATCTTAGATATTCTCCACCAAGAAAGTAAGCAGCAAAAATCCATACAAGAATCACCATTTTGCACAGAGAACAGTATTGAATCATTGCTGAAACGTTAAGCAGAAGGGAAAAGAGTAGTACGAAAAGTGCAAACGCATGAGTGATTGCACTCATACGTAAAATGCTTGAAGTGGTCAGTATGGCAAGACAAGTATTGATTGAGTATTTAGTCCATTTATCATTCAGAACATAATCTTTAGTAATTGAAAGATAAGAATAATCTTGCAATACTGGAGTAGGAGAAACAGTATGGTAAACAAAGGTGAGCATGGAAGAAGATTGGATATAAGCTACAACTCACATTCCTTGTGTTAGGTTCCTCCTAACACAAGTCATCTTCTAAGGTTAAAGTACATTTTGAATTTAATTCAGAAATCAAAATTCAAGTCTTAAGAGAGAGTTAAAAAGACAATCTGAGTTACTTGAGTATAATTGTAGCCTTTTAACACCAGTGAGGACCTTCGGCAACAATGCTGTCCATATAATGTTGGTTTGTGGTTTTAATGAGTTTATTTATCAGGAAATCTCAAAGCACTTCATGCTTTGATGAGTTTACTTTAAAGCACGACTCGTCACCTGCCCACATGGCCAAAAGTATTAATTCCTTCTGTATCACCATATTTCCTATGAGCTTTATTGGCCATCAAGCTGGTCTAACCTAGCCTCAAAGTATGGTTTCCTTGGAAAAACTGGATTTTTGTCAAGACGAAAGTGTGAGATTCAACAATGCCGACGATCTGAAGGTTGCCATTAAAGCAGTCTGGGCTTACTTGAGACCTCAGAGCCGCAGGTTCTGTGCTACACTGCATGGAGGCTCTACCTTACTAGTAGTGCACATACTTTACAGTATTGAAAATCCTTTCTTTTTTTCTTCATCTTTAATATTGTGATTTTCTGTGAAACTGAAAACCAGTTTTACAGGAAATCACATCATCAGGGAAAATCATTATTTCCAGGAAAATGAATTACGGTTTAGTTGTAACAAAAAAGTTTCTGAAATAAATCACCCTGAGTAATGACTTTGTATGATATGAGTGTTAGTTTTTGAATCAAAACTTTAAAATAAATATCATAACATCTAATTTAATAAGATGAATTTAATAAACAACTGATAAATGTATGTTACTTTTAAGCAGTTTTTTTTAAGTTATATTGGTGTTTCAAACAAAACAGCCCCTTTTGTACAGAACAACACTTTAGTGCAAAACAGAATAAGCAATGTCAAAGACAGAACAAAATGAAGAACAAATCAAAAATATGTGGTTGTTTTATTATAATTTTACATCTTTTATTTATCAAAATCTCTGAAAATAAACAAAAACGCTACAAGCAGAGCTCTTGTTTCTAGGTGTCACCTTCCACTGGTCTATACAGTAGCATTGCTGCATGTGTGTAAAACAATCACAATAAAAAATATATGCAAATAACAACATCACTGCGCCTTATGAGATATGCATGTGATTAAAATAAAACAACTTTCAAAAATGAAGTAAAATAGAAATAGAACAACTTGAGTCTTTATTTTTCATGGCATAAAAAAAAGAGTTTGAGGAACTTTTCTCTTACCTCTTCAGATCTAAAACACTTTTTGATATAAAAAAAATTGATATAAATAGTATTACATGTGAAGTTAAAAGATATAAAGTTTGTCCATTTGACCTGGATGCTCTCTCTTTAGAGCCCAGGTGTATGTAGGTGAGAAGGGCAGCAGGAAGGATGCAGCCTCAGGCACAAGCAGAAGAGGCTGATCTGGTCTGTTCCCCCTGCAGCCTACATCTCCCACTCCTTGGTCTCCCTATACAGGAGTGTTATTGCGTTTCAGTTCACTGGGTGATGGTGGTATGCGGTCTCCAAGCTTCACGCAACTGGACGAATGACTGAGTCCTGTGGTCGCCTCCTCGGGACCGGGTGCTCTCTGCCGGGGAGGCAGAGTGGAGCCGCGGGTTTTGCCCCTGGAACGTGGCAGCTGAGGTGGAGGGCCTTTCAGCATGAAAAGTTCACTTGAGGCTTGGGGGTGTTGGGTCAATGGTGACTGTGGAGATGATAGGGACAGGGGGCTGTGCAAAGGAGAGGATGATTTCGGGGAAATGGAGCACAAAGGAACCAGTGGAGTGACCAAGGGTTGCTGCTGGAGCTTTGTGAGGCTGGTGGATTGGCTCGGCCGGGGCAAGCTGTAGCAAGTCTCAGCCACTCTGTAGCGGGAAGGAAGGGTGGAGCATCGGGATTTTACCCTCGTGTCTGGCTCTCTGGGGGGTGGAGCAATTAGAGTCAACATCCGAGTTTCAACATTTGATTTTGTAATGTCTGGCCTGGAGCCTCTCAGACTCTGGGATGAGACTCTTTGGGATGAGGGATGGGACGTAGGTTCGCTGTCCTTCTGTTGACTTTGCTTGGATTCTGAATGAGGAAGCTCTTTTTTCTCAATCATGCTTGATGAAGGCTCTTCATCTAGACAAATAGAAAAATAGAAACATATCAGAGCACAACATAAGAAGTGTCATGTAAATGATAAGCAACAACAGTTTTCTCTTCTCACCTAACAGGCCCAGCTCACTCATGAAAGAGTCTAAATCCACAGTAAAATTTTCCTCCTCAGTTGCCTTTGCTTCATAAACTTGATCTTCATTGCTCTGTCTGCTGTCTTCCTTTTCTTCTTCATCCTCTTCCTTCACTTCTCCACTTTCTTCCTTTTCTTTACTTTCCACCTTACCAATTTTGTCACATTCTTCACCTTTTGGCTCATCATCCAAGTTAGTTTCATCCTCTTCAAATGATTTATATACCTCTGGGTTGGTATCAAACGTGCTAGGTTCATCCAGACTGATCTCTACCCTCACTTCTTCCTCTTTCTCCCCCACTTGGCACAAGTCCTCCTCCTCTGGTGCCTCCTCCACAACAATGTCTATGTTGGCAGGAAAGCAAGGGCTTGAGGATTTTTGGGAGAGAGTTTTGGCACATGCTTCTTGGTCTTGTCCAAGCAAGAACTCCATCAATGCCATGTTCTCTTTTTTTAGCTGTTCCCGCAGTGACCGTGGGACATCTGGGATCATCCAAGCCACCAGCATACTGAGGAACATGGCAAGGTTCTTTAAGGAAAAAAAAGAAGAAACCAAGCAGTTTTTCTTTTGTTATTGTCATGCTTTTGTGATAAACTCAGGCAAAGTCCACACTTGTATCCAATTAATAATCTGAGAGAGGATAAGAAAAGAGACACTACGGTTCCTCATCTTATCTGATTTTGCTCAGAAGAAATGACAAAAAACTTAGTTTTGAAGTCTGAAAAGCTATTAGAGACATATTTCTAAAGACATGTGAATCTGAAGCAAAAGTTGGTTCTGCAATCTATTCTCTTGGGTGGATGTGCTGAATAGAAAATGCATGCTACAGTTTTCAGATTTTTATTTGTAAAAGAACAAAAACAAAAACCACATATTTTATTCCTCTCCTAAATTATGTGTTGCATTGGTTTATGAAGTTAAATTTCACAAAATTGCATTTTGAACAAGTGTAACATTGCATAACATGAAGTTGTTGTAGCACCATAAGCACTGCATGAATTCTCTTCATCCCATTCCTAATCTTTTGTTTAATTGGTCACTGAGAGTTAGATAGACTAAAATCCAGGGCCAGGAAAATCTTACGCAAACACCATTAACGTAGAATTGTCAGACAGGAGCCAAGTTTCACCAAATGCACATGCTGGGAATTTGCCAGAAGGCATTGAATTAAGCTTAGATCTAAACCGGCTTAATCCTCAGGTGTGATCTGTTCTAACTGACCAAAGACTGAGCCATTACCCATTTGGCCACAATTCAAATAAGTTTGTCTGGAGAAAAGCAGGAATTTCCCTTCATTGCTTTGAAGCAAACACTCAAATCAAACTCAATAATATGAGAGCTAGTGGTAGGAAAAAAAAAGAAGCTTTATGAAAAAAGATGTCAAAGCTCTAGATTAACCCAGTTAGCTCTTGGGTCTGAACCCATTGGAGCATTTTTGTTGGTACCTCGAAATGACATTCTCTTTCCAACCTGGCTAAGCTGGAATATCCCTGGCAAGAAGAAAAAGAATCTCCCAAAGGAAGCCTGCCAATATAGTAGGATCACTCCCCAGACTTTAGGCTGGCCTTGCTGCCAAAGATACTTAAACACTTGATTCCATCAATATTAAACTAACAATAAATGTAAGAATAGGTAAAAATACAAAGAGTAAAATTGTTTTTTGGAGATAATTATTAAATAACCTGACTGGCACCTAAGAAAACTCTATTTCAAATAAATGGTAATGAATTCATAAATTTAAAGACAATGACCTCAGA